CAGCACCAGCGCAGCGTTTGTAGGCACGCTGAATTCGATTTACTAACCGCGTGCTTGCATGCTAAGTCTCTTTATTTCAGGTGGTGGGTTTTCGGTTCTCTCCTAATGCCTTTCTTTCTCATATAAATGTCTAGTGGGCCAGTGGGCCATGAGCTAGGCCACTCGGGACCACTACAGAAGCGACGACGGGTCCTGCAGAGAAGTACGCTGAGCCGGCGCAGCGTTTGTAGGCACGCTGAATTCGATTTACTAACCGCGTGCTTGCATGCTAAGTCTCTTTATTTCAGGTGGTGGGTTTACAGTTTTTACCTTAATGCTTTTCTTTCTCATATAAATATCTCCCTGTACTCTATTCCATTAACTTGCACACATCGCTTCAGCCAATTGTATTCGATTTCCATAACATTTTTGTGTTCGTGGCATTCCGTGAACTATACTTCCTGACGTCGTGCACTTAGCTAGGATTTGTTTGTAAACAACTTATTACATATGCTATTTAATTTAGGTTTATATCACCGTTTCCTTATTCATTAATCGAGTTTTTCTCTTTCTCTCTCTCTTAAGTGTTTGGCTGTTGTTTGATATCCCCGGTGTGGCTGCGCTTGATGTGCATGTTGACAAGGTGCCTACCTGTCTATTACCCACTACCTCGTCCACACTGGCTCCAGGAGACAGTTGGTCGTTGCTGGAGGGGACGGGGTGCACGGTCCTTGTGGCCGTGTTAGGCTCGAATAGTGGTTCCATGCAGTCAGTGTGGAGCGGACTACGGTCCAGCCACCGCCTTGTGTGCGCTTGATTCCCAAATACAGTGTGCTTGTGTTTGCCTGTGAAGGAGTGTGGGCCGGCTCCGTTGATGAAACGTGGTTCCCATCCGCATGCCTCCCGGTCTTATTCCTTTGGGTTTACACTGGATATGGGGTGTGTGGATGGAGCTGTGGGTGGTGCAGCGCAAGCCATCCATGGTCCCTCTGTAGGCGCAGGCGTCCTGTGTCTGGCCCAGTGACAGGCAAATCCGAAACCGGATGCCGCAAACCATATATATATATATATATATGCGGTGAAACTACTCTTGTAGATGATTTACACGAGTTACTAGTGAAACTTTGGGAGCAGGAATTTGTCCTGACAAATTGGAGCGGCTCCGTCATAGTCCCAATTTTCATCGGAGGCTCCCGTTCGGCATGCGGCAATCAGAGAGATTAGTCTGATCCCAATTATCTACAGACTGACTGGTATCCGAGAAAACCAGATGCGTGAGGAGCAGGCCGGGTTCCGTCGGGGTCGTTGCTTCATCGACCACATCTTCACTTTGCGCCACTTGTTGGAGCATCGTCATATTTATTAGCGATCCACCTTATTCTTGTTTCTTGACATCAAAGGTGTCTACGATTCGGTGTGGAGATGTGCTCTTTATTGGTGGTTACTCAAAAAAGTGTTCCCGGTAAATATGTAAACATTGTCACGGCGCTGTACTCGCATAGTTCGGGCAGAGTGAGAATTTATGACAAACTGTCGCCGGTTTTTAATATATCCAGCAGTGTAAGACAGGGTTGCCCGTTGTCACTTTTCCTCTCTTACTTCGACATTGACGGTCATGAAAACAACGTTCGTTGAACACGACCTACAAGGTGTGGATCTGCTTCCTTATGAGCTACTTCTTGTCCTAAGATGTGACAGCTCCCAAACGTGCCAAGCAGCACTGGGCCGATTGGCACTGGCTGTCAATTGTTTTGGGCTTTGCCTTGCTCCCTCGAAATTCATGGTCGTTCTCCAAGATTGGCAGGGACCCACCCATGCTCTGTCTCTCGGTTGTGATCAGCTCGAAGTTGTTCAGTACTTTAAGTACCTGGGCAGCTGTATTAGCGCCCGTGGTATTGAAGATGAGGTCACGAACCATATAGCAAAAGCTCGAAGTGTTTTAGCCAATCTCCGCCACTTGTGGCGCCGACTCGATATCACTCTCGCCCTGAAGAGCAGAGTTTCTACTGCAGCCGTTCGTTCAACCCTTCTATACAGTTGTGAAACCTGGCACATCAGGTCGACAGACATAAAGAGGCTAGCTACGTTCGACCATCGCTGCATTCGCAGCATAGCTCATGTCTCGCGGAATCACCGCGTGAGCAGTGAATGTGTTCGGCATCCCGTATTTGGTGTCGGGAGAGCGGGTGAACCGCTCAGCACTATTATATCACACACCAGGCTCCGATGGCAGGGCTGCGTTTGCTTACCGACTCCCGCGCCGTGCGTTGTTTCCGCGCCCTGGGTCTGGATTGAAGAGAAGGAGGGGAGGCTAAGCGACGACTTCATCGAGAGGGATGAAAACCCACACTTCGAACTTGGCGTCGATTGATGCATCCCGACTGCCTGGCTGTGGTCCCAAGGACAATGAACACGTTTGGTTGGACTTCCTCACAAATGCTTTGGAGGATTCGTTAAGCACTTCCCAGGTAACCGACTTGAACTACGCTGATGATATCGTCTTGCTGGGTGACGGTCCACAGGCCGTCCAACTTGCACTTACTCGCTTGGCGATTGAAATGTCAAACTATGAGATGGCTTTTTCCCCATCCAAGTGCAAAGCTCTTTTCCAGGACTTTTAGTTTCCTGTACCTGCACTCACTCTTGGTGATGAAACATTGGAGGTTACGGAGAGTTTTGCCTACCTGGGGAGTTACAGTCGGTGGAGCTGTTGAAGACGAGATTTCGATGCATATCTCAAGAGCTCGCTTTGTTTTATCTAAGCTGAAGCACTTGTGGCGCCGGCATGACATCCTTCTATTCGTCAGCGGTTGGGTTTATTGTACGAATGTCCACATGAAAAACTTGACGAAACAGCTAGTCTCGGTCGTTCTCTCGATTCCCTGGTTGGGAATTTAGAGATGCAGAGTATCGCTGGTTGGGCACCCTAGAAGTCATGGCTCAAGACCGATGTCATTGGCAGACGTGTGTCCCTGCGTGTTGCAGTGATTTCCTTTCCCTTCTCCGATAAAACAAACAATTAAAAAGCTCAAAAACTGAGTGAAAAACCAGTGAGAATGTTGCATGTTTTCTTCCTATTCTCATCCTGTTTTCTTATTCCGCCTTGAATTTTTTGGCACAATATCTGTACCACAGATTGTGATCAATGTACGCTATATATATATATATATATATATATATATATACATACATATATATATATATATATATAATTTGGACACATTGGCTGATATGACGAATAGCGGGCTTCATTAGCGTTTGTGTTATCTATTTCTTTGTCCACCCCACTCCTTTAGATTCCCCTCCAATTGCGATCTCATATCAAATAAATAATATGATATTTCACATTATATTACTTGCTCTTTGAATTGTTTGTAGTATGTTTTTTAGTATTTTATCTTTTAGTATTGCGGCACATTAGCTGAGTTTTGTTTCTCACCCTCCTGATGAGAGGTGGTTGGTATAATGCTTACTCTTTTGTAATTGTTGTGTAGGACAGGAACCCTTTTGGCTTGGTCAATATACAACTTTTTCGAGCTTAGTGTACTTTTCGTCTGTGGTTGAGACCACTGGCTTTAAAAAGCCTCGTGGGTCTTGACAACGTATGCGGTATTCTCCTCTGTGATACGACCAACAGGTGTGACACGGCTACCCGCACAAATAACCCGAGCGACATATTCAAGCGATTGTTCCATCACGTCGAAATATGGTATGCAACACCATTCGTCAGTCTACTCAGTATATCTAATTGTAGCTGAGTCATTTCCAAAGAGAGCTATGTGTTGCATGCATTCTGAGTTCTGTAATCTTTCATCCAACAGAACCTCCACTAAAACGGAGGTGGACTGGAGTGGCGAGTTAACCATCCATCATCATTTTGATCGCGAAATCGGAGACGAGAGTTAAAACAGCTCCCCGCGCGCTCTATTTGCTTTGGCGAAGTTCAGGGGACTTACCAATAACATTAACATAACCGCGTTGGTCGTCGCAAGATAGGAACCTAATCAAATTCACTTTCCGGATGAATGAAAATTACCATGATCGGTTGTGCGTGTGTTACGACGTTACGCTCTTGGCGAGGCACGTAATCATTGCACTCTCCTCCGGCGCAGAAAACTGCGTGGTTGGTTCGCCTCACGAGGTGCACTGAGTTGCCGCATACGGTTAACTTAAGTGAAGTTGCATTGAGAACGATACCATGACGATGATTCCGGTAACGCATGCTTTGGCCGTTTTGCAAAATGGGGATGAAGGTTGACTACCATTGGATAGGGTCTTTCCATTTTGTGTCAAATAATGTCGAACATATCAACCAGAGTAAGCACCGGTAAGTTGCCACCGTCCTTCTGAAACGATAGTGGAAGGTCATCAGGGGCAGGGGCCTTCCTACGCTTCAGTCACACCAACTAATATCAGATCACTTCGGTGGCGGCAGTTATTACCTTGAGGTCCCAGGTGAGTTCAGGTGACCCAAGTAACACATTTGGTACAACTGGTTGGCTGATGTGCTTTTCACTGACGAAACCAGCGATCTAGTCGACATGTCAGAATGAATCGGTTGGCCAGCTACATCAAGAATTGTCTCAGTCACCACGCATTTTCTAGTCCAATGCTCCTAACGAGTTGGAACAGCAATCGAGTGTCCCAAATAGCATAGGGTTCTCTCATTTAACAGGCAACAGCCACTCCCTTGCATTCGCTCGCTTGCTCCGAGGTATTGGCTTTTCCATCAGGCCACTGTACCCTTTTTCTACTGCTTTCCCGCTCCATTTTTGCATGATGCTACACTTTTCGCTTGTTTCACCTACCCTCTGGTGTCATAGCAACTGTACCTACCGGATGTTCACGCTTGGATTGTTGTTGCATAAACAAATTAGTTTCTTTCGCCATTTACTGGTTTCCCTTGGCGAGATTGCCAAAGATTTGCATGCTTTACATATTTTATCGGAGCTTAATTTTGTTCTCTAGCTTCAACACCTCGTGTCAGGCTTAAAAAAGGCGTTTTTCTTGATTTTTCATAGACTGGAGGTCCGGTCCTGATGCAAATTGACCCAACTGGACAGTTTATTCACTATCGTCTTTTTCGTGAGGCAACTCGGTATCGTAATGGGAAGCATATTAAGGATCTTTCCTGTTTAAACCGAGATTTGTCTCGTGTAATATTAATTGATTGGAATCCGGATGCCGCTAAGTTGCAGCCCAGAAACGCTCTGATTATCAAGCGATGGCGAGGAGACGACAGTGATCGAGAATTAATTGATTTGGCTGCCTTCTTGCGAAGTACGTTTTATTTGCAACATATTTTGCAATACTGTTGTTTTGATTTCGGTTGAGTGTAACACTTTTGCCCTGCGCTGCTACTTCCATTAAGTTGGATTTGCTTGTCTTTATACTCCTTTGTTCATACTCATCCACCACTTCTTCGTTCCACCTCTAAGCGATCTTGTTATTCGGCGTAAAGATAAAACTTTTCGAACTTCGATCATATTCCTGATTCTTCGCTCGGCTGACAGATTGCTTAATCCGCCGAGTGTTTCCACTCCTGTCTATCTGCTAACTTGCATAATCTCTCAGATCAAAAAGTCTGTGACTCGTTAGTGTCCGTTCTCCAAGCTGAACAACAGTAGCGGCCTTCATGTTAATATATCTCAATTGGGTTTCAAATCTTGGGCCGCGTGAATACTGGCCAGCGTCTTAACGTTGCGGTCACCATGCGTTAGCCAACACTTGTAAGTCACCAAATGCGAATCTCAGCTAGGTTATATCTATCTGCAAGTTTTAAATGGGAATAGGACCCTTTGTGTTACACTCTGGACAACACCAATGTCACCCTTACTTCGGATACTATCCCCTTGACCGAAACGACGGATTCTTGTTTTCATTATTATGAATGCTTGTAGCTCGGGGTGTGGATGAAGGTGTTCGGTTGCCTCCCTAGCTGGATATTTTAGCTGCAGCCTAAACACCTAGGTACGTAGGTGCGGCTGACCTCGTAGTATACTCAGCCCGAGCGCGACTGGTAATGATTGCGTGGCACCGAACCACCATCACGATATGCCGACGTGATGCTGAAATCTCTAATTACCATTCTTTCATCCTTCACCTCCTGGTAATGCTGAAGTTGAACAACGCGGCTTTATCTCTGGCGATTATAGCAGTCGCTCTGGGACCTATGAATCTTGTGCCCTCATTTTAACAGTCGTTGACCATTAAAAAGCGCTGGATGATGTACGAAATTATCGGGAAACTGGTGTCTAAACTGTCCTGACTTCCATCTCACTTGGCTCGCGAGAAACCGGGAGCGGTGAAGACCAAATTAGTCACATACCTGGTAGACATTGCCTGGGCATCTTCATCCACAAACCGATCTTCCTGTTCATCTCCGTCGAGATACTTGCTACTTTTAGGTCAGTTGTCTGCAGATTCTCCATCCACTACTTGTCAGTGGAAGGCGCATTAGTAGATTTTCCATCCATTCTACCATACAAATCTATTCTTGTAATTCTACTAGCGTCTAGTTGTTTAGCCGAGTTTGGTTTACAGGGTATTTCTTTCTTATCTTTCTTTCTTCTTCTTATCTTCAATTTAACAGGTTACTTTTGCCATTGACTCTGTCTTTCCCTTCACCTTCTCATTAGCGTCCGAAATTGTCACTTTTGAATCAATAAAGCTTGTTCCCTTTGAATTAAAAGTGTCACCGGATTACTCACAGTAACGCTCCGCTTGGGTAAGACAGTTTCCATGGAGCAACGTTTTTTCTATCTCCATTACGCCTCCCATCGCAATGAGGCTGGACCTTACCCTTGGTTCGCTGGTTTGTGTGCCTCAGCCATCCATTGAGCTATGCTGGGTGGTGTTTTTCTGCACCTTCTGAGCCACTCATACCAGATTGGTCAATAGTTAGAGGCCAGACAAACTCAGCCTTCTGGTCCTCCAGGTTTGCGGTTGGAATGAGAGTGGCACCTTATTCCTTAAAACGGGCTCCTTGTAGCCCAATGCCAAACCCGCTGTCTTGCGGTCAGGTTTTTGAACCAAAGGCTTTGGTTGAGAACCCTAATCGTTCTCCTGTCTAGGCCTGGGCATCCTGACAGTATTCTGCCCACGAAATACAATGAATTTCTCATCAGTTTCTTTATTCTCTGGCCACCTCAAAGGATGATCAACGGTGTCCTATCTGTTGCAACGAGCAGGGTGGATAGGGGTTTGGATGCTACTGCTCAAGCCTTCCCGTCTTCTTATCCCCCTCTTACGCTTTTTCACTCTTATCGTCCCGTTCCAGCTTCACTTTTATCCCCCCTGTTTTCAACCCCCCAATTCTTGCCCCTCCCCACCTTGCTTTGCTAGGCTTTTACCTTCTAGTTTCAGCTCACATGTGAACGCGGAGCGTCATTTCTGTCCTATCGACAAGCCCATGTCTAACCAAACGGCCAAGCCCAGTTCATGGACTTCCATTTGGAGCCCTCGATCATCCTTCAGATTGGCATGCCTCAATTTACGCACATTGCTACAAATCGGTCAACAGACAGCACTTGCCCGAACATTAGAGACCCTCTCGATCGATATCTGCTGCTTATCGGAGATCCGCCTACAAGACTCGAGCTCTGTGCTCACTCTGCGATCCCCTTCAGATGACACCAGCAGCACTTTCTCATTGCGCCTACCCAGTGACGATGCAGCTTCGAGCACCGGCCAAGTCGGTGTTGGTATTGCCATGAGTCCCCGGGCTGAAGCTGCTCTGGTTGACTGGATTCCAATCAGTAGCCAGATGTGTGCGGTCCGATTGGCTGGCTCATTCAAAGCTTCGAAGTCGCGCGGGAATAACAGGTGTCTATTTGTCATCGCTGTCTATGCACCCACAAACTTTAGCGATCATTCGGTAAAAGACGACATCTATCGCCAATTAAACGAGCTCCTTCGCCACAGAAGTACCACGGACACTGTTGTGCTGGCTGGGGATCTGAACGCTCAACTTGGAAAATTATTCACTGATGAATTGCTTGTGGGCGGCCAACCTGGTGTAGGCTGCCGTATTGCTAACGGTGAGCGGTTACTTCATTTGTGTGAAGATGCTCGCTTATTTCTTGCGAGCACTAATTTCCGACACAGCACCCGCCGGAGGGTGACTTGGCGCCCACCAGTCTCGAACCAGCTATGGACGCAAATCGATCACACTGCGGAAAGTTACCGCTGGAGAGGCTGCGTCCAGAACTGTCGCTCGATTTGGAGCACAGGTGTGAACACCGACCCATGCACTTGTATGTGCTGACCTGCGGATGCGCTTTGGCGGACGCCCAAGACGACGTTGTGAACGCACTGACACCAGCCAGCTGGCGAAACCAGCTATTCTGAATGCCTATCAAAGTACGCTGTCATGCGAGTTGAGTAAGCACTCACTGGATGCAATTGAAGGTCACTGGTCTCATATTAACCGGACCTCACTTGCAGCAGGAAAATCCTCATGTGGTATGTTTAATCGCCAACATGGACATTGGGTCTCTTCACAGTCTCTGGAACTTATCGATGCTCGCCGGCATATTCCGGCTGGAAGAGAACACGATGAAACTCGCAAAGAGCTCCGGGCATAACTCCGTGCTAGCCTGAAGAGAGACGCGAATCCTGGTGCTCTCATCGTGCATCAGAGATGGAAATGGCCGCTGCCCTTGGTAACCATCGTAAGTTATTCCGTCTGATACGGGAAACGGGCAGCAGGAGACCTGGTGTTAGTGAAACATTTTGTGACGAGAGTGGACAGCCTATCCACAACTTGTCAAAAAGCTTGGAGCGTTGGGCTGAGCACTTTGAAAGGCAATTTAATCGGTCGGAATTGTTAGATTTCTCGCCGGCCAGTGATCGCCCTGCTCCGTGGGCTGTCCCTTTGGATCCACCCTCTCGCTCAGAAGTCGAACGTGAAATCGCACTGTTGAAGTTAAATAAAGCCGCGGGACCTGATGATCTTCCTCCAGCCTTCTTCAAATTCGGGGAACCTGCTCTTTTGGATAATTTACACGAATTGCTAGTTAAACTGTGGGAGCAGGAAACTGTCCCAACCGACTGGAGCCGCTCCGTCATAGTCCCAATTTCCAAGGGAGGCTCACGATCGGAATGTGGCAGCCATAGAGGAATCAGTCTGATCTCCAACGCCTCCAAATTGCTTGCCTCTGTCATCCTTCACAGACTGACTGGCACGCGTGAAAGCCATATTCGTGAAGAGCATGCCGGCTTTCGTCGAGGTCGTGGCTGCATTGACCACATCTTCACTTTGCGTCAGTCGTTGGAGCACCGTCACATATATTGTCGGCCCACCGTTCTTGTGTTCCTCAATATCAAAGGTGCATTCAGTTCGGTGGATAGACGTGCACTTTGGGACTGTCAAGTCAGGAAAGGTGTGCCCGAGAAATATGTAAGGATTATCCGATCATTATACGCGCGTAGCTTAGGCAGAGTGATGGCTTAATGCAAGCTGTCGTCGCCCTTTAATGTCTCCAGCGGTGTGAGACAAGGATGCCCGCTGTCACCTTTCCTTTTCAACTTCGTTATTGAGGGAGTCATGGAAATCTCGTTCACAGGACACGACTTAGAAGGTGTGGATCTGCTCCCAGGAGAACGACTTCTTGACTTCGAGTATGCTGACGATATTGGCCTACTCTGTGACAGCTCCCATACGTGCCAAGCGGCACTGACACATTAGCACTGGCTGTCAGACGCTTCGGGCTTTGCTCTGCACCGTCGAAATGCAAAGCGTTCCTCCAAGATTGGCAGCGACCGCCTCCTTTGCTGACCCTGGGCGGCGATCAGCTAGAAGTCGTCCAAAAATTCAACTACCTGGGAGGTTGTATCAGCGCCCGTGGGATTGAAGATGAGATCACGAATCGTATAGCAAAAGCTCGAGGCGCTTTTACTAACCTTCGCCATTTATAGCGACGGCGCGACATCACTCTCACCATGAATGGTAGAGTGTACAATGCAGCGGTATGTTCGACCCTACTGTACGGTTGTGAAATCTGGCCCCTTAAATAAGCGGACATAAAGAGGCTAGTTACGTTCGACCACCGGTGTCTTCGCAATTTGGCTCACATCTGGTGGGAACATCGCGTGAGCAACGAGCGTGTTCGACGCTGTGTTTACTGCACAGGAAAAGGAACTGAACCGCTCAGCACCGTTAGTTCACGCACCAGGGTCCGATGGCTCGGCCACGTGTTACGCATGCCAGCCCACCGACTCCCGCTACGTGTGTTGTTTGCGCGCCGGGGGTGTGAATGGAAGAAGAGGAGGGGTGGCCA